CAGGAAGTCATGAGCATGACTAGCAGTAATCTCACAATAAAGAGGTCCACTTTAAACTTTTACACAATATTTACCCTACAAATTGTTTTGTTGCCAAATTTCTAGAGATTGACACATGTTGTAACTTTTGTAATCAGAGCACTGAAACCATTCCTCATTTATTTTTTAATTGTCCAGTTACCAAAAATTTTTGGGATGATTTAGGTATTCATTTTTCTTCATTCTCGAAATATAACTCACTCTTTCACCCTGAAAGATATTATCTGTTACTCTTGTTTTCCACAAGATGGCATCCTGGAGTTTGTCATAAACTTTATAATCTTATATGCTAAGTTTTTTATGCACAAACAGAAATTTAATAAGTCTTCCCTATATTTTAAGCATTTTATTTTGGAACTTAATATGCTTCTTAAATCACACGAACTTGTGAAGAACAAGAAGAACAGAAAACTTGTATCTCAATATTTTGACCTATTCCCAAATTCCTCTTAACATCCTTATTATTTTTCCTCTTTCATTTACTATGTATGTTTCTTTTTGTTGTTGTTTTTTTTTTTGTATTTGTTTTGTTTTTTTCTCGCTTTTGTTTTTTGTCTTTGGTATGGTTTTGTCTGTACAAATGCTTGATTGTATATTGATGTTCTTGTTTGTACCAGTTATTGTTATCAATAAAAAAAAAGTAATCTCACAATAATCATATTCTATTTTCACAATTTCAACACAGACTATAGTTTATTTGGGGTTTTAATTGATCTGGATTCCGTTTTAATGGCTTAACGATTTCTTTTTATAAAAATATATTAAGATCATCCAATCAATGCAATTAATAAACGAATCAGTGACGAACGTGAGATCTGTGTGTGACACACTCATCAGGGTCAACAAATAAAGATCATTCCTTTTATTTCTGACAAACAAATCCTGTCCAACAGAGAAACACTTCCACCAGTTCATCAAACTGAAGAGTGTGTTCATCAGCGCGCGAGTGTGTGTGTGTGTGTGTTTCATTCATAAACTTCTGCTAAAACTGTGATAATCCTGTAACTGTGAAGGGGAACTCTTGTGAAATCTCAGCATGACCCAGAGAGAGTTTGTGAAATCATGAAGTGTCTTACACACTCTGACACTCTGACACACACACACACACACACACACACACACTCGGACTATTAAGTGAAAAATAAGCAAATGACTAAACCAGAATCTGTGTCCATGAGCTACACTGGACCGAACCACCGGGTTCTGCTGATGATTATGAGTGCGAGTCACCAGAGCAGCTGATCACACACACACACACACACACACACACACGAGATGAACAACAGCAGCGCAGGGGAACAATAGGCTGAGTCCCGTCCAGATCATTCTGGAGTCACATGATCACTGAGAGAGGAACAGAGACTGATAATCAGTGTAATAACAGTGTTGATGAGAATAACTAATGCATGTCACATGACTGATTGCAACCTGGCGGGTGTGTGTGTGAGAGTGAGTGTGTGTTTGAGTGAGTGAGTGTGAGGAACCACAAATGAGGTTTGAGCTGGAGGTCAAGGCTCGGCTGGTGAACATGAGCTAGTGTTTGCTTATTTTTTGAGTGAGTGTGTGTATGAGTGTGTGAGAGTGTGTGTGTGAGTGAGTGCATGTGAGAGTGATTGTGTGAATTTGTGTGTGAGAGAGAGAATGTGTGCGAGTTTGTTTGTAAGTGTTTGAGGTTGTAATAATCTGAGATGAGGACAATCACAGCATTAGAAAAGTGTTCGAACAATCAAACAAAAAGACAAAAACGAGACTGTTAACATCTCTAATGAACGACTACAGTCCTGTGATGTGTGAGCCGTTGATTTAAACATTGTGTATATGAAAAGAAGATTTTTACGCATATATTTTAAGCTGTTTGACACCCGATTACATAATCCAGTGCACTTGACACGATTCCCCGATTGGTGGAGATTTCTGTAGAATCATGGGTAATGTAGTTTTCCACCAGGAACGTTGCCTAGTAAATTAAATTGATTTTAAAAATAGTTGATATAATGCAGACGGTGCTTCAACAGGAACAAACCATCGATAGATCACCTCTTAGCTCACAGTAGGACTGTCTTTAATAGTTTGTGATAAGTCACGTGACATCTAAAGACCCACTAATTGGTTGTTTCCGTCCCGAGCTCGTTCTGACGGATATTGATATGAATCTTTATGGTGATTTGGACTGAAAGTATTACTGTACGCGCGCGTATTGTTCTGATCACGTGACGCCGCGAAGTGACGTCAGTTAAACAAGTCAAGTGAAATGTAGAAAATAATTATATAACAAAACACCTCAAATGAAAGCACATTATAGCGAATAATAATGACTAAAGTGAAACAGGCACACATAAACTGATTAAACTAACTAAAATAACGAGTTTAACCAAACAGTCAGTCAGAGAGAAGAATCTCGAACTGACGCGCGCTAATGACAGTTTGACGTCGATAACACTGAGATCTCCGTCGTGTGTATGTGTGGTTTAGACTAGTTCGCGATGTTTAATGGTGAGCTATAAAAACTTACCCATCAGCAGAGTACAGACACCTGCAGAAAAACACTGTTTAACGACCGTCATGACGTCTGTCGGGAAAAGCGCCAAACCGAGCGATGGCCGCCGCGCACTGAACACGGGCGCTGTGGGTTTATATGAGTGATTTAATCAGCTCATAAACGGAGTTGTGATGTTTCCTCGGTGTCTGGCAGCAGATTCACTGTGTCATGAGGCAGAATGTTCCAGTCATGTGATGTGAGCACTTTAGCCCGCCCCTTCGAGTCACGTGACGCCGCGCGCACTGCCGCGTTTATGGTTTATATAAACACTGGCGACAGGATTACACGGACGCGTTCACTGTGTTTACTGTATACAGGACAGCCTGCCGTGAAGTGTTCCGTGCATGTGTCTGTTAAGGAAAAATGACAAAAATTACGCTATTGTCTTCTGGAATTCTTCTGTAAAGCTGCTTTGAAACATTCTGCGCATGTGTCATTATTCTGACTAATTTTATTCTCAGTAAAAATATTATTGCTGATATTAATTGTCTTTTGACGGTGGCAAAACTAATAAACTGAATCTTTAATCCAATCGCTTATAAAAGCATCCATCAGTGCATTAATGTAAACGTGTGTGTGTTTGAGGAAGTTACCCATACCACAGGAAGAGTGGTTTGACCTTTGACCTTCTATAGACACATCTCTACCTCACCTTTCACAACGTCTGTCCTGCAATCATAAATCATACAACATGCTCAATTCAGACTGAAATAACTAGTATGTGTGTGTGTGTGTGAGAGAGAGACCCGTCTGTCACGCTCTCGGCCGTAATTTGTTTCTTCAAGGAATTACTCTGTGAATGAGGCAGAAAATCACATTAGTCCAGGAGTGTGTGGAGAATCACGAACGGCTTCACTGGGTGTGCAGAAACAAGCGACACACACCAACACACTCGCAGGAACACACACGAGTTAGTGAACATACATTTTTGCATCGTGACATTATTTTCATGACAAACTCTGATGTTGACTTGAGAAAGCCTGAATGTTTGAAGAGTTTAAGCTTCATCATAAACACAGAATGAGGAATATAACAGCAAATAAAACACAGTACATTCATAATATCTTAATTAAATATGATTTATTCTTTCATATCTTCGTTCGCTTACAAAGAATAGAATCCTCTGCTCTACAAAACTGTGTGTGTCAGAATACAGGTGATCACACACACTCACACTGACACACACAAACACTCGCTCACACTGACAAACAAATACACACTCATACGCACACATTAACTCATACACATATATACACACACACACACACAAACTCATACACTCGCACACACACTCTAACTCATACACACTGATGCTTGCACACTCTCATAAGCACACACACTTGCGTTATCAAAAGAATAATATTTGTCTATCATGACGAGTTTGAGAGGCTGCACTGAGTCTCAGCAGAGTGTGTGTGTGTGTGTGTGTGTGTGTGTGTGTGTGTGTGTGTGTGGGTAACTGTCGAACCCTGCAGCATCAGAACTCGCATCATCAACATGATTCTGGCATCATGACGACCGAAGTCTAAAAGAAACACACGTAACGTGGCGCTACAGTAGAAGAGACTCGACACACACACACTAAACAAAGTCCAGGAACAACAAACAAAGAAAAGTGCATCATCTCATTCGCAAATCGCAATCATGCTAGAGTGGCTCGGCGTCCCAGAAGGCCGAGCGTCAGTGAGCGCCACGCGCCGGTGCGGCCCAGAAGGCCTTGCGGAGGAACCCGGAGCTCACGCCACATAGTGGTACTGGTTGGCGTTCTCCTTGTCCCGCTCCATGTAGTCCCGGTCGATCAGCGACTCGATGCGCTTCTTCAGGTCAGCCGGCTACACCGAGAGAGAGAGCAGGGAATCATGGGAGTTAAAACACACTCAATATTCAGCAGGACCAATCGCTCATTCACTCGTCCGAGTAAAACGTTAGCTTGTCTAGAAAAAATACTTTTTTGTGTGTGTGTGTGTGTGTGTGTGTGGATATTTCGGACACAGTGTGTAAGGGCCTTAAAGCACAGGATCCGCCGTGTCACAGATGTGTGTGTGTGTGTGTGTGACAGGTGTGTGCGAGCGTCACCTTGACAGGGAACTTGAGCTGGTTGTAGAGTTCAGACACCAGCAGGTTGTGGCTCAAGGTCTTCCTCATCTTCATGATCCTCACCACGGCAGCGTCGATCTGATACTGGCGGTCCTGGAACACGCGCTCAGTGGTGCTCACCTGCTCCTCCACCTGAGGATGACATCACACGTCACATGACCATCTTCACATTCTAACAAACTCATTATTTCTGCATTCAGTAATTATTATAAATTAATACACGTCGCTGTGATTTTGAGTTTCCTCTGATGTCAGATCTGCACAAATAAACGTGAATGAAATGAATCTGTGTGTGATTTTCAAATGTTTGTAACAGCTGGCTTTGAGGTGTGTTCCATTCGACCGTAAGTGGACTGCGAAGTGGACTTCACAGGGTATTTCGCCATCTTAAGTGAGATTCCAATTCGAAGGGAACAAACATGTTCAGTTCGAAGGGCACTGGGGAATAAGGGAACATAAACGCCATAGGGAACAAGGGAACATCGATACATCACTTCACAGGAAGTCAGTGAAGTCCACTTCAACTGATATACCGTGTTCAGGGAGTAGGGAGCAGTGAACACTTGTGTAGGGACCCTGTCGAATGGAACGCACCTTTGGTTTGAGGATTCTGCACCTTAATAGTGTCTCACACACACTCACACACACACACACACACTCTCACCGTCTCCTTCATCTGGATCTGGTTGATCTTGATGCGGAACAGTTTGTGTCTGAAGTCGCTGTTGAAGTGGAAGCGATCTGCGTCCTCCACCTCTTTCCCTCGGGGGGTTTTATTGAGGACTCGTGCTTTCCCACACGCCAGAGACTGAAGAGTGCGCTTGAGCTCGCCGTCCTCTGACACACACACACACACACACACAACAGAACACGTTAATGAGAGTTCACTCACTCACACACACCCACTCTCTCGCTAACTCACACTCTCGCTAACTCACTCTCTCGCTAACTCACACTCTCGCTAACTCACACTCACGCTAACTCACTCTCTCGCTAACTCACACTCACGCTAACTCACTCTCTCGCTAACTCACACTCACGCTAACTCACCCTCTCGCTAACTCACACTCTCGCTAACTCACTCACGCTAACTCACACTCACGCTAACTCACACTCTCGCTAACTCACACTCTCGCTAACTCACACTCTCGCTAACTCACACTCACGCTAACTCACTCTCTCGCTAACTCACACTCACGCTAACTCACACTCACGCTAACTCACACTCTCGCTAACTCACACTCTCGCTAACTCACTCACGCTAACTCACACTCACGCTAACTCACTCACGCTAACTCACACTCTCGCTAACTCACACTCTCGCTAACTCACACTCTCGCTAACTCACTCACGCTAACTCACACTCTCGCTAACTCACACTCTCGCTAACTCACTCACGCTAACTCACACTCTCGCTAACTCACTCTCTCGCTAACTCACACTCACGCTAACTCACTCTCTCGCTAACTCACACTCACGCTAACTCACACTCTCGCTAACTCACACTCTCGCTAACTCACTCACGCTAACTCACACTCACGCTAACTCACACTCTCGCTAACTCACACTCTCGCTAACTCACTCACGCTAACTCACACTCACGCTAACTCACACTCTCGCTAACTCACACTCTCGCTAACTCACACTCTCGCTAACTCACTCTCTCGCTAACTCACACTCACGCTAACTCACACTCACGCTAACTCACACTCTCGCTAACTCACACTCTCGCTAACTCACTCACGCTAACTCACTCTCTCGCTAACTCAATCACGCTAACTCACTCTCTCGCTAACTCACTCTCACGCTAACTCACACTCTCGCTAACTCACACTCTCGCTAACTCACTCTCTCGCTAACTCACTCTCTCGCTAACTCACTCTCTCGCTAACTCACACTCTCGCTAACTCACACTCTCGCTAACTCACACTCTCGCTAACTCACTCACGCTAACTCACACTCTCGCTAACTCACACTCTCGCTAACTCACTCACGCTAACTCACACTCTCGCTAACTCACTCTCTCGCTAACTCACACTCACGCTAACTCACTCTCTCGCTAACTCACACTCACGCTAACTCACACTCTCGCTAACTCACACTCTCGCTAACTCACTCACGCTAACTCACACTCACGCTAACTCACACTCTCGCTAACTCACACTCTCGCTAACTCACTCACGCTAACTCACACTCACGCTAACTCACACTCTCGCTAACTCACACTCTCGCTAACTCACACTCTCGCTAACTCACTCTCTCGCTAACTCACACTCACGCTAACTCACACTCACGCTAACTCACACTCTCGCTAACTCACACTCTCGCTAACTCACTCACGCTAACTCACTCTCTCGCTAACTCAATCACGCTAACTCACTCTCTCGCTAACTCACTCTCACGCTAACTCACACTCTCGCTAACTCACACTCTCGCTAACTCACTCTCTCGCTAACTCACTCTCTCGCTAACTCACACTCTCGCTAACTCACACTCTCGCTAACTCACTCTCTCGCTAACTCACACTCACGCTAACTCACTCTCTCGCTAACTCACTCTCTCGCTAACTCACTCTCTCGCTAACTCACACTCTCGCTAACTCACTCTCTCGCTAACTCACACTCACGCTAACTCACTCTCTCGCTAACTCACTCTCACACTAACTCACACTCTCGCTAACTCACACTCTCGCTAACTCACTCACGCTAACTCACTCTCTCGCTAACTCAATCACGCTAACTCACTCTCTCGCTAACTCACTCTCTCGCTAACTCACTCTCTCGCTAACTCACTCTCTCGCTAACTCACTCTCTCGCTAACTCACTCTCTCGCTAACTCACTCTCTCGCTAACTCACACTCTCGCTAACTCACTCTCTCGCTAACTCACTCTCTCGCTAACTCACTCTCTCGCTAACTCACACTCTCGCTAACTCACTCTCTCGCTAACTCACACTCACGCTAACTCACTCTCTCGCTAACTCACTCTCTCGCTAACTCACTCTCTCGCTAACTCACTCTCTCGCTAACTCACACTTTCGCTAACTCACTCTCTCGCTAACTCACACTCACGCTAACTCACTCTCTCGCTA